TTACCCTAAACACTACCAGGTCTGTGCAGTGTCATATGACATCTATGTACCAAGTTTTATTGAAATGTTATGATTAGTACTTGAGATATCAGTGGAAAAGCCGAAAATTGATTAATCATTATGTAAATTAGGTAATTAATAATATTAACAGATTTTTACCCAAAACTAATCAAATCTGCGCATTAGTTCAGAGCATCCATGTGCCAAGTTTCATTGAAATCCAATGAGTGGTTCCTCAAATATCAGTGGAACAGTCATGGAACAGCTTGAAATCAGTTAATTATCATTCAAATTAGATAATTTAATATTCATAGATTTTCACCCAAAACTAATCAAATCTGCACACTAGTTCAGAGCATCCATGTGCCAAGTTTCATCAAAATCCAATGAGTGGTTCTTCAGATATCAGTGGAACAGTCTTGGAACAGCTAAAAATCAGCTAATTATCATGCAAATTAGGTAATTAATATTCATAGATTTTTTACCAAAACCTAATCAACTCTGCGCATTATCCCAGAGCATCTATGTACCAAGTTTCACCAAAATTTGATTAGTGGTTCTTGAGATAACGGTGGAACAAAAAAAGTGACATACATACATACATACATACATACATACATACATATATACATACAGACAGGGTAACTGCAAAGACTCCCTTTTGTGCTTCGCACACGGGAGTCAATCAGGCAATTATCAAACAAAGAATACTAGTACATGAAAATGTTTGCCACCAGAGGGCGCTGTACACAGTGCCACTGTACCAGATATTTGGTTTTTTAGAAGCACATCTCTAATAATGGAAGTGATACATACATACATATATAAATATATACATGTGAAATGTCATTGTTTAAATGAGAACATATATATAACCTGTAGTCATAAATTACCAACATTGCTCAAATTCAAACTTACCAACACCCAGCAATTCTACAGGAATATTCATACGCCCACTAGCGGCTGTTAATACCGATCTCCATTCTAAATAATGTGACGAGACTAATGTTGTATCACCAGATTGGTCAGTTTTAATAAGTACTATATGCACTGGATCACATATAGATAACATAGTTGTACTGTCTGCCATTGTAGCAGCATCACCTAATGGGTACAAATTACAGTCAAACATTAATAATTAACAAATTATACATATTTTGAAAGCGTGAAGCTTGATGATTCTAAGTTCTAACATATACATATACTCTGCTAGCTCTTTTAGTATACTTTTAGTCACAAACGGGGAATGAAAATAATTATGCAAATAATATCCTACTAATTTACATGTACTGGTAAGTGGTTACTGGAGACCTTACATACATTGTATTGTGAATATATATACCATAATTAGTTCAATTTGAATTTGTCTTGAATTGTGTTACAAGAATAATAAGTGAAAATAATGTTCTTATTTAATTCATATGTATGAGCAGACTGAGCTATGTTTGAGACTACAGAACGCATTTTGTATAACATATTCATCATTCTATTTCAGTTACAATGTATACTGTATGCATAGAATGTTTCTAATGGTGAAAGACAATAGCAACTGCATCAAAACAGCTTCAGATTCTGAAACTTGCACTGACATAAAGAACGTGCTAGTTGTGTCCCAATTTGGGAACACAGTGGAATGATTCACATGATTCATTTTCTTTTACTGTAAAGCATAGTATTTTCATCTAGAATCATGAACACAATAAGAGGGCCACAGTTATACTGATAAGAAGGTTCAAATTTTCCTTAAATAACCTTTGTTTTTACACGCACTGCCTATATCGCATGGGAAACATTATGCACAGCAACAATTGTTGAATTTTAAACACAGTGGGAGGAGGGAAAAGTTATATTTTTAATAAGTCTGTGAATGACTAGCTCTTACATTTATAGAAAATTTCTTCCTTTATACAATGAATACAGATTATTATGGTACTATTATCCTACCTGCTCTGTCTTTATGCAATTCCAAGAGGAAGCCTTCTTGAATATCAGGTTCACAGGCACAAGCCACTGATCGAGATTTGAATCTCTGTCCTCGGAAGTTTATGTGTATTGTAAACATTGAGGTGCTTTGACCTGGCAAGGGTTCTGGTTCTTGAAGATGTTCTAAAAATGCCTTACCACCCAAAATTTGTAAATACAGATATCTCCTGGTGGGGTCAATATTAGCTGAAAACAAGCAAATTGAGTGTCATTATTATCAAATTTAATTTAGTCTTTTACGAATTAACTGCAAACTTTTGTTACTTATTTTATATTTTTTATTCAATTGAAGGACAACAGGATTAAACTATCAATACTGGTAAGCCACTTTCATGACATATTCATACTAGTATTTTTGTTGGTACATGTATGACAACACACACAATTGGGGCATTTTAATGCGTCTTTTTGTTCCTAACAGATACATTTTACTCAAGTAGCTAAAACTAATGACCAAGTAAGGAAAATTGTGCTGAAATATAAATAAAATAAATTCATTTTTGATTTTCATACACATGAAAGTACCAGGATGTGTGACCCTTAGAGGTCATGAAAGTGACCTATTACAGCTTCACAGCAAACAATCATATGATAATGACAAAAGCAATTTTACTCTCCTGAATTCATGTAAGAAAATCAAAATATTCGCCATCAAAGGACAGAATGCGCAAAATTACTTAATAATATTATGCTTATATATGATTACATCTATTCCTAAAGGTACTGCATAAACAAAACAAGAGAATGAGCAACTTGCTATTGTTTTGAATGCAAGATTTCTACACATACAATGTAATTGCAGGTTAAATTTGGAATACCTTTTTGCAATGGAACACTTTTAACTTTAGCATCTTTGTCTAAATAATGAGTTGATGGTTTTCCTCTTTCTGATTTCTCATGTACATTTTCAAACTGCAACTGTCTCATGACATCATCTACAAGACCTCTCTGCCTTAATGCTTCCATCAACTCTATCTCTGTTAAGGGTTGTGTTGATCTATGCAAGTGTTCTTCACCGCGGATGGTCTCCGTTAACACATCTCTTATTCGGGACTGAATATCCATCTGCAAAAATATAAACACAAACAATAATATCAAAAAGTCCTAAACTCAAATACTTGTATTCATAATAAGTGGTTTCACATCGTCACTATCGTTGACTAAATGTGCAAATCCGGTTTGTGAACTTTGTTGCACAGTCTCAAAACAACGATGGATGTGAGTGTGAGAAGAGTCAATTTGACGACTGAGGAAATAAAATCATTGATTGTTACATAGACGACAGACCAAATTCAACATGAAAGACAAAAAAATTAGCACAGCCTGGTTAGGATATACTGATATACAGAGAACAACAGCACAAGTAAAAAGAAGGTTGAGACTTCTGTAGGCGGATTTCAAAGAGATAGTTGGCAACAATAACAACAGCAGCAGCAGTAG